GGGAGAGAGAGAGAGAGAGGGAGGGAGAGAGAGAGAGAGAGATACTGCTGTATGTTTTCCCTTCTGATGCTCACATTTGATTTTTTTTTTTCTTCTCACCTACTGAGTTAAAAAGAAGGTGAGAAGAGAAGAGAGACAAACCTAAGGTGAGGACAAAAGCTTCTCCTAGGTACAACCTTGGAGTTGTGAATAGATTATAAAATGAAGGAATATTACAGCTAAGTAAGTTAGGTCTTTTAGTTTTAAGAAAGTTTAGTTGCTTTCAAATGATTTCTTAGGGCAGTTAATGTGCTATAAGTTAATATGTATTTTAATTCTCTAATAAAAATTGACTGAGCATAAAAAAATCTCCAGTCAAGAATAGATGAATCGTAAAGGGCTCAGTAAAGAATAGAACAAGCGTAAAGAATTTACTAGTAAGTACATTAATATCAGCATTATTTTGGCAGAAACTAATAAGAAATGTGGTTTATGAAATGCTGCTTTTGAGTCCTATCCAGGGATAGATAAGAGAGATAAAAAGGGTTTATAGGGCAAGAATGGAAATCTTGCCTAGACAAAACTACTCCCAAGTATTGAACAAGGCTTCTAGGACAAGAACACAAATAAATTGTAAAGCACTTGGGTTCCTCTTGCAGGTCCTTCTGAATGCCTCAAAGTTTCCTGTGTGGTAGTAGTAGTGGGTGCAGTGATGGTAGTGGTGGTAATAGTGTGTGTGTGTGTGTGTGTGTGTGTGTGTGTGTGTGTGTTGCATATGCATGAGTGTGCGAAGCCCAGAGCTAGGATGTTGCATGTCTTCCTCAATTGCTGGGTGCCTTATTTTTTGAGACGGTGGATCTCACTGAACCTAAAGCTCAGCAATTCAGCTGGGCTGGCTGGCAAGTGGACTCCAAGAATTCTCTTTCTTAGCCTTTCAAGATACCCCTAGATATATATGACTATGACCAAGTTTTCATTTAATGTGAGATTCAAACACAGATTTCCATCTTTACACCACATTTATCTGTCTTAGCCATCTCAGGCACTTTAAATTCTCTTATAAAAAGAAATTGTAATATTTCATGTTTGAGAATTTCATAGATGTATGCAATCCATTTTGATCATATATAATCCCTATTACTTGACTACAAATTCTACGGAACCCTGTTCCAACAATTCTGCTACAAAACTTTGTATCTTCATCTCTAATTTTTATTTTATTTTATTTTTGGTTTTTGAAACACAGTTTCTCTGTAGCTTTGAAACCTGTCCAGGGACTGTAGACCAGACTGGCCTCGAACTCATGTAGATCTGCCTGTCTCTGCCTCCTAAGTGCTGGGATTAAAGGCCTATGCCACCATCACCGAATTATTCTCTTCATTGTTATAACCCTCTGAGTTTAATTGGTACTTTCCATATATTCATGGGTGTGAGGCTAATCATTTGGAGTTTCAGGAACCTATCATAGCCACACTACTGAAGAAAAAACACTTGCCACCATAGCCACCAACTGCCAATAACTCCTCTATTAGTGATGAGGCTAGATGTTCCCACCCAAACCCATGCCATAGTGATGACTGACGTGGTCTTGTGCTGTCAGTCTCTCTTTTAAACACCTGTCTCTCCAATGAATAACAGATAAGGAGCATGTGGTGAGTCCATTTATGCATTATTCATGCAAAGAGGTCTTCTGAATGTCTTCTTTGTAGATTTTTTTAGCTCCTAATTATGCAAACCAAGAAACTGTATCTACTCTTTGTGGTGGGGTACACCTTTGAAAGTCAGAATCTGATCTCCCTTTTCAACACGTAAGTTCTAGGAATCATACCCATGGCATCATGGGAGGTGGCAAGCCCCTTTACCCACCCAAATACCTCCCTGACCCCCAAGAAGCTGTTTTTGTGCACTGATTCAGAGAAATATGCTTTGTTTTTCTCAAGTGCAAATATCTTTGCTAACCTTGAACTTTTTCAATTTTTACTGTATAATACCCAGAAAAATAAATAAAGAAAAGTCATCACACATGTTAGGCCAGTCTGCTGTGGAAATACAGCAAGACTGTAATAAGTTTGAGACTACTTACCTGTTCCATTTCCTAAACACCACATTCCTGCATTCCAGAGAGAAAGAAAATGAATATTGTTTCAGGAACAGAATGTCTGCAATTCCTGATGCTACCTCTTTCTCCTTCTGATGGTTGTAGTGTTAAACAAAGAATTGGCAGTAATGAACTTCCATGATTGGAAATGTTATTCTTGATATTCTTCAGATGGAACTAGTGTAGAAGGCACCAAGTCAGTGCTCTTCAGAAAATTGAAGTCTGTTCCTACAATGGGAGACTCTTGTTTGCAAACAGTTTAATCATATTCATGCAAAAAAATAATGTGACTTTTTCACAATTATAAGTTTAGCCATGCTTTTGTGGTTGATGGTTTGAAACTGTAAACAATACACCAGCCCTTTTTGCACACTAGATAACTGAACTTTCTTCTCCAATATATTAATTCTTTCCCTACTTTATTTAGTAATGGTGGTGAAATCTTATCTAGCAATTACAGAAAAAGGTGAAGGACCAGTGCAGTAAAGAAATGTGCAGCTGTATGTACACAAATGAGTGAGTTCAGTGACATGGAAGAGACAACACAGCAATTTATTTCTCAAGAGTGGAACTTGCAGTTGATTTTCATTTTTTTAAAAAAAAAATAATGTGTTTAGATATGTCTTGAAATCACTCTCTCAGCTTTGGACAGTACCAGGTCTCACAATGTAAGAAAATTAAGACTCATAAATGGAGAAATATAAATATTTGAGAAAATTAAAATATGTCATCAGAAATTCACATACAAAATCATTATAGATAATTTATCGTTCAATAATATATGGCTATTTTTATTTTTATTGATTTTTATTGAGCTCTACATTTTTCTCTCCTCCCTTCATTGCCCCCCCACAACCCTCTCCCAAGGTCCCCATCCTCCAAATTTACTCAGGAAATCTTGTCTTTTTCTAATTTCCATGTAGATTAGATCTATGTCTCTCTTAGGGTCCTCATTGTTGTCTATGTTCTCTGGAATTGTGATTTGTGGGCTTGTTTTCTTTGCTTTAATGTATGGCTATTTTAGTCATGATTCTGTGTATCTATCAATTTGAACAAAGTTCTGGGTTCTAGTAGACATTTTTCTTTTGTTTTGAGGGAGGCTACCATTTTATCCATTGTTTAATCTTCATGCAGTCACGTATCTTTCAAAAATGGATAAAATGAGATATTAAAAGGTTAAGTGCTTCTTTAAAAGGCATAGTTATGAGTTAGATAAATGACTCAGCAGTTAATAGTACTTGCTGCTCTTATAGAGTACCTTGGTTCTGTTCCTGGCACCCACGTTGGGTATAACTAACGACAGCCAGTAACTCTAGCTCTTGGGAATCTGATGTTATCTTCTTGACTCTGCAGATACCTGTATGCACATATGTACAGACACTTACACACACATAACCTCAAATTTATGCATATGATTTTTAAAGATACATCTTTTAAGTTACAGCTATTTCAGGACAGGAAGATGATATAAATAACAGTCCTATAGATCAGCTGTTATTTTATAGAGGCTCAGAAAACCTGAACACCTGCCTGACAATCACAGATACTAGCTGGGGTCCATTTGTCCCATGTACATACACATCCAGACTCAGCTATGTATGGGGAGCAGAGAGTCTCACCACATCAACACATGAACGTGTGAAGAATGTTCCAAGTGGGCACTGACTGCCAATGGCAGTATTAAAAATAAAACCTGGAACTAGGGATATAGGGGATATAGCTCATCTTTTGCACACCACGTGTGGGGAACTTTGATAATCCAGACATTATCTGGATTATCCAGATAAAATAATCCAGGCCTGGTGTTGTAAGCTTGTGATCCCAGTACTGGGGAGGCAGAAATAGGCAGATATCCAGGACTCACTGGCTAGCTAGCCTAGCCTCCTTGGAGAGCTCCAGATGATGAGAGGCTTTTGTTTCTAAGGATGTGAGCTATGTTTGTGAGGATGACACCTAGGCTTGTACCTTGCCATTTACATATATATGCACATGCACTTCATGCCACATGCGTGTCCGCACATCCGCATACTTAAAAAAAATACTAAAAGTGAAAAGGCATAACACCAGACTAAACCAATTGACCATAACCTTGTCTGGATGTGGCTTTTATGTGAGAGGAACACCCATGTACTTAAGATACCAGATTTCAAAAAAAGTTGGGGTTTAGGTCCTTGTAGTCACAAGAATTGCAGTGTCTTTTTGAGTATGTCTTTCATTTTCAAACTTACTCCTTTCTACCCTAGTTTTAAATGATCATTAGTTTTCCCATCACAAATTCAGGTTCAATTTGCTTGCATACAATAAACTTTGAGAAAGTGACACTTTAGAAGTCGAGATAAAGCCAAGTTCATACTAAATTGCTGTTTAAATTAAGCTAGATTCAAAAACTGGTGCAGCAAAACTCTGCATGGTCAGATATACTGATGAAACACTTACACCAAACAAATATATTTGGATTTTATTTAATTCAGCATGATTTGGTGCTCATAAAATACCCTATCATTAGCAACTCAGCACAAAAGAGATGCGGAGTTCTCTCTCTCTAACCTCAGGTTAATCTTCTTAATTAAAACATTATCTCGTTTAATGACAGTTTAGTTGCCAGTAAAACAAGGTTAATTATTATTGAGGCTTGCATTTCAGAATCATGGAGGAAGGGATTCTGTGGATTCGCAGTCTTTGTGGCAAATGCGACTGTTGAAAGCAAAGAAATGAGCTCTCTAATTTGCACACTCTGAATGATACGAATATTAAAAAGTGCAAATGAACTCACTAGGTTTGCTTAATTCCAAACCCCATGAAAAAGTAAAAATGTAACTGTGATTATGAAATGCTGAATAGCAAAATTTGGGAGCCAGCCTGATGCCTCACTGAGGTGCCTTTATATAAAAATGGCCTCATGTGTACAATTTTTAATTTGCATTCGGGTGGAAGCACAGGTGCGAATTTATGGTTTCAGTGGCAGATTCTCTTAAAGAAATGATCAGGCTGTGTGTGTCTTCCACCAAAGTAAAACAAACTATCGGTAAGAGTTCACACAAAGATCCAATCTAACTTAATGTCCTTATTTGTCTAGTTAGTATATTTAATTATAAACTATAAGCACAATTTTCTCTAACTGGATAAGAATTAGTATCATAAAAACCACAATCATTTTAGTGCATGGCTATATCCTCTTATGGATAGCTTAATAAGCATCTCTTTGTTAGTTAATACAGCAATGCTATGACATTTTATCCAAAGAAAGAATACATTTTTCTCACAATATCTGCTTTCAGAAATATTTTCAGAGGAATATCTGTCTCAGTTTTTAAAATCAAGTAAATTGTGCATTAGAATTTTAGTCACATAATTTATGGTGCATTATAGGAGAGCCAACGTTTGAACTCAGATTCCTCTGAATCACAGATGTAGGTAACCTAGATCTCAAAACACATTCCAGACACCAGCAGCGATCATATTCTGCTGGAGGTGGGTGTCATCTCCTCTGGACCAGTCTCATGAAAACTAACATCTGACACTAGTGAGGTATGGTCAGATATAAAGAAAACAGGTATATTTGATAGATACTAGATAGATGATAGATAGATAGATAGATAGATAGATAGATAGATAGATAGATAGATAGATGATATGACATAATAGTTGACAGAGAAATGATGGACTACATAAGATGGAGAGATGAGAGATAGATGATAAGACATATTAGAAGATAACTGATGACAGATGACAGAGAAATATGACTGAGATGAATACTTTTGTGTCAATAATAGTTTCACACAAGCTAGAGTCATCTATAGAGGGAACCTCAGTGAAGAAAATGTTGCCATATGACTAGTCTATAAGGAAGTCTATAGGACATTTTCATAATTAGTACTTAATTGGGGGAGTGCTCAGCCCTTTGTGGGTGATGCCATGTCTGGGCTGGTGGTCCTGAATTCTAAGAGAAAGCACCCTGAACAAGCCATGTAGAATAAGCCAGGAAGCATCACCCTTCTGTGGCTTCTACATTAGCTTCTGCCTTCAGTTTTTTTGCCCTGTGTGAGTCCCTGTCCTCACTGCCTTTGATGATGAACTGTTGTATATAACTTTTAGCAAAGTAAACTCTTTCCTTCCCAAGTTGCTTTTGCTCATGGAGTTTAATTACAGCAAGAGCAACTAAGACAGATCAATTCTATGTGGTGGATAGAGAATAACTAGGAGATAAATGGATGTTAGGCAACAAATGAAAGCTATTATTTGATAGACTAATAGAGTATAGATAGATTAGATAGATGATAGATAGAGAGATAGATGACAGATAAATAGAACACAAATATAAAAGATATGATAGAGATACAGATAGAAGAATATATGATAGATATGTTAGATGATAGATAGTTAACAAATAACTAATAAATGTGTGATAGAGATAAAAGATTAATAGGTGGGTAATAAATAAGTAGATGGTAATAGGTGAGTAATGTTAAATGATAAATGATACATATATGACACAGATGTATATTACTGTAGATAACATTCATATATATTGAGCGTAGATTAAAAATACATGGAACAGTTTTTTAATCAGAAAACTTTACTAATGACTTGGCACTGCAGTTAAAACACGGATACATAGTTCTACATCGAGACTCTGATTTTAGGTCTGTGAGCTGGAAACCAGGACTCTGAGTATCTAAGGCCCCAGGTGATGCAGACTGGTGCTACAATCCCAGCTGGCCAAATTACATCATAAAACAAGGATTAAATTTTAACCTACTAGATCTAGCGAGAGAAATAACAAAACAAAAACATAAATTATGATCCCAAAAGTGGCTTCTAGTAGTCATGACATTCCTTTAGCAAAAAGAAATTTTTTGACCACTTTCATTAGCTACAATGTTCTGGCCAGTGTGTGACACTCTTCCAGAGATGTGTCAGTCTCTAGTGATAACCAAATAAAACAGTTGATAAGGGGCCTGTTCACTCTGAGTAGAATACAACATGTTGTCTCAAGCTTCAGCTTGTTTCAGCATTTGTCTGAGTCAATACTTTGAGTATGAATCTCTCTTTGCAAGCCTTAAATAAGCTTGATCACATGCCTTCAATTTTTAACTCAAGTGTTTTTAATTTCCTTTCATCTTCTCTGTATGAAACAAGTAGTCTTTTCAAGACCCCCATACCACAAGGATAATTGCATATTGTTTAGGAACATGTTGTGATACATCACCTGATTTATTCACGTGGTCACACTTTCTTTAGTTTTCTTTTACCATTTCCATGCATGTGTGCTGAGAGCACATGTATAGTTCTACATGTTTGTGGATCCTTGTGTATTTATGTAGAGGCTGGCGTCAGGAATCATTCTAAATTGTTCCTTCACTTATTCATTGAGATAGGGTCTGCCAGTGAAACCAAGTGCTCACTGATATGGCTTTTCTTATTAGGCAGCTTCCTCTGGGGATCTCTCTCTCTCTCTCTCTCTCTCTCTCTCTCTCTCTCTCTCTCTCTCTCTCTCTCTCTCTCTCTCTTTCTCTCTCTTTTTTTTCGAGACAGGGTTTCTCTGTGGCTTTGGAGCCTGTCCTGGAACTAGCTCTGTAGACCAGGCTGGTCTCAAACTCACAAACATCTGCCTGCCTCTGCCTCCTGAGTGCTGGGATTAAAGGCGTGCACCACCATCGCCCGGCTTCTGGGGATCTCTTTTCCACATGCTGTGACTGGAATTTCGTTGCTTTAATGTGCCAGTCTTTCTTTTGAGCATTACTGATCACTAAGTAGATGACTCATATATTTAAATGACCCTTGGAGGTGCAGAAATTGCCCTTTCTGAGTCTGTGCTAGGAAGAGACAAACAACAAATTTATCTGGTATTTATTTGGGTGTTGGGCAGTGGAGCCCCAGTATTCATAATTTCATGGCACATAATCCAAGTACTGAGCGATCTCCTCAGGCCCAGCATGAGGGTCTTCTTTCATTCCCCTATGCAAACTGTTGAGGTGTATTTGGGAGTGTTTGCCTTCATTTCTCTTTCTTACTCACAGAGTACTTGGCTACAGTTTGTTTGTCATTGCCTGGGAGATAACAGAAGTCACAACTAGCATGTGTGTTTAAGTATCAGCTCTGTCAGTATTAGGGATTTTCCTTTAGCATCTCTATTTCTATCTAGAGAATGAGTAGAACCATCTTTGTACTGAAGTAAGAACATTTAGTGACAAATCAGGTTATCAGCCTTTAGAACACATTGCAAACTAGAAGCATACCAACTACTGCACAGTGGTAGTAATTGTTCCTTCAATGGAATTTTGATTAGCTAAAGCCAAGTTATATATGCATTTTAACTCTTCTGCCACAGACTCAGAGAAGGCTCTTTCTGCACCTCTTAGGGTCATTTAAATATGAGTCACCCATTTAGTACAGCTTTAAAAAAAAAAGGGCTGGGCACATTAATGCACTGGAATACTTTAGGATCTTTTGAATTTTAAATGTGGTATCTGATGCATGTGGGTAAGATTTTTAATATTTCTGCATTTATTCTTAATTACATTTTGTTTATTTGTGTGTGTGTGTGTGTGTGTGTGTGTGTGTGTGTGTTGGTACACATGTGTCATGGCACTCTGGAGGTCAGAGGATAACTTGTAGCAACTTGTTCTGTAGAGGTTTTCTATAATCCTTGTGGGTGGGATTTTCCTTACCTTCCCCTTTCCTGTCCCCTTACCTTTTCTTTCCTGTTCCATTTCTTTTCCTCTATCTTGCCATTTCCTATTTCCTTTCCTTCCATTCTTTACTTCTGGCTTCTCTCCTAGCTCCTTATTGCCCCTTCCCCACCCCCTTCCTTGCCCCTAGAAAGCTCTACAGTGCAGTTCCATGATGTGAACAGTCACTTGTTCTACTGCCTATTTTGCATGCACAGTTCTTCTGCAGCTCTGAGAAAGGAGCAAAACAGCCCCTCTCCTAATGAATAAAGCTACCCTGATTTCCTCTAACCTTTAATTGTCTGGTGAAAATGCTCCAGAAGTAGCAATCTGCAAAAAACAATTGAAAGTAATCAAGTAGTTGAATTTAAAAATCATTTCTATTTCAGAGAAATTGGACTTTTTATCCCCAGTAAAACACACATATACAACCCCCTACAAGTAAACTAGTCAAAAATTCCATTTTTAATTTTAATATAGTCTAGTGCTTATATATTACGTATTACAACTTTTATTTTCTCAAAGGCAGGTCAAGTGAACCCAACAGTGAAATTATATGTTGTAAACCTGTATGGACCAACTCATACTTTGGAGCTGATGCCGCCCGACATTTTTAAATCAAGGTAGGCAATTTCGATTCCACTCTTAAGCAGAAATAGATATTTTCCATCCAATTATCATTTTGTTGCAATTTAGGAAATGATGTGATCAGTGCCACAATTCCACTTGAAAATGAAGCAGAGGTTGCCTCCATCAGTTGGGAATGAAGTCATTCTCGTTGTCTGGCTGTTCCTAAGAAGTACTTAGTTTCAAGGTGACTAGAGATAACACGGAATGATGAAAGATGCTAATGAGTGGGTCTTTGGCTGGTGATGTGAAGGACAGAAGACAGGTTAATTTTCCACTGAATTTTCTTCTGGAGAATAGTTGGTCCATCCTTTTGTTTTGTTTTTGTTTGTTTGCTTGTTTGTTTGTTTTTAGTTTGTTTTAGTTTTTCAAGACGGGGTTTCTCTGTAGCTTGTGTCTTGGAACTCCCTCTGTAGACCAGGCTGTCCTCAAACTCATAGAGATCCACCTGCCTCTGCCTCCTGAGCATTGGGATTAAAGGTGTGTGCCTCTACCATTAAGAAATACTGGGATCAGGGACTGGGACTGCAACTCAGTTGAAAGAGTGATTGCCTGGAATGGGCAAAGCCTTGGGTTGAATAAATCCTCAGCACTGTATTAACTAGATACAGTGGCAAACATCTGTAATCCCAGCCCTAGAAAAAGGGGAGTTGGGATAGTGAGAAGCTTAAGATCATAAGATCATCCTTAGCTATTTAGGGACCTCCAGGCCAGCCTGGCCTAATTGAGGCCTGTTTTGTTTTGTTTACTTTTGTTTTTTACAAAACAACAAAAACCTAAAAGACTAAATTCTCTCTATAATGCGTGTAGTTTACCTTACTTTTTCCCACAACTTGCCGATAGTTTATTTGGTGTTCTTCTGTAAGTAGAATCTTTGAATGAAATATGATTTGTTTTAAGATCAGAAGTCTTTATGATGTTCGAACAGGACCTGGGGAGGTGGCTTAGTAGGTAAATCTCATGAAGAGTTTAGATCCCCAGAACACACATAGAGATATGAGGAATATTGTATATCTGTAGTCCCAGGGCATCTGTGGTGAGATGGGAGCCAGAAACAATAGAATAATCAGAAGCTCATGGGGGCCAACAAGTGTGAAGGCTCCAGTGCTGAGCAATCAGAAACCGTGCTTCAAATATGTCAGAAGGAAATGAATCATATCTGTGGTTGTTCTCTGAACACCCCCCCCCGACACATACACTGTGTCATGCACAAACCTGAATGAACACTGTAAATAGGTATACATATGTCCAATGCATATATTTCTTTAATGCTGGAAATATCTTCTGCATCAACCAGATAATCATTTATACACTAAAGTCCTAAATGTCTCAAACTTCTAAAGAGCTGCATTCGATGTTATTGTCAACTTACCAAGATCCTAAATATGAACTGAGTAGCTAATCTTGAAGTGTGGTCTCACTGTTCATAGAAAATATATGTCTCTCTCCTGTCCTTTTCTGTCTATCAATCACCCCCTTTTTGTAGGTATGTGTTGTTTATAGCAAAGTTGCATATATATGTGTATAACATAGTCCACATTGTGTGTGTGTGTGTGTGTGTGTGTGTGTGTGTGTGAGAGAGAGAGAGAGAGAGAGAGAAAGGGGGGGCTAAGCTTCATGCTTATTTTGATGACTTCTATAATTAACCCAATGTTGCTGATTATAGAAAAAATATTTAAATATCTACAAATTTAGGGAAATTTAATCAGAGGTGGCCATATTTACAGATAACACACTGTGATATGTATGGAAGTTATTTAAAATGGTAATAGATTCTACATAGTGCTCCTGATTAAAGACCTTCTTTAATTGTCTAATATGAGCTTAATTTTTTTAATGAATGGATTAGATAAAAGCCAGAAAGAATGAATGTGTGTGATAGAATCTCAGCATCAGCTGGGAATACACGTCCAATGAGATAAGACCCTTCCATTGTGTTCCAGAGTATTTTATCCACATTCAATGAAAAAGCTTAAAGTGGTTCAAAATGATAAGTAGGGTGTAGCAGGGTTGAATGAACCGAACAGAAAGCTCTGTTTCTGAAGTTGGTCCACCAGACATGAGTAAACTAGTCACAAGTAAAGAAGCATGGACACCTGTTCAAGACAAAGCCGGCCCTGATCCTAGCACAGACTGTATCAGGCTTTCTTTAGGCCACCAACCAGCCCCCAATCATGACATGGAGCCTTAATAGTTTTAAATGCCTGACTCTAGCTTAGCTCTTATTTTAATCTCCTGTTTTATCTATATTTATGTCTTGGAGCTTTTTACCTTTCTTTTCCTCTGTATATCTTACTTTCTAGCTGTCTTCATACCTGACTGGTGGCTGCCTGACTTCTGGCCCCACAAATGTTGCTCTCTTTCTTCCTGGTTATCTTCTCTCTTCTTTTTCCTTTCTCTCGAGTCTAGATTTCTCTTCTTATTTATTCTCTGCCTGCTAGCTCTGCCTATCCCTCTCCTACCTAGCTATTGGTTGTTCAGCTTTTAATTAAAACAATCAGGTGCCTTAGGCAGGCAAGGTGAAACAAATGCAACACACATTAACATAATTGAACAAATATAGCACAGACAACTGTAGCATGTCCTTACATTGATAAACAAATGCAGCATAAACAAATGTAACACAATTTTGCCTATTTAAAATAGTAATCCACAACAACAGACAAAGAAGGGGCATCATGAAGACTTAACTCGGGAACTATTGGCAGGCAATAGTCACCAAGGAAAGAGGAGTCACCTTTTCTGGGGAATGAAGCTTCTGAGAGGATTGCAGTCTCATATAGATACTCCTTCACATGAAGGCAGCATTAAGAGAGTTCACAGAGATTTTTAAAATGCACATGAAGTTGAAAAGGAAATATAATGTCGGGAGGGGGCAGGTGAGCAACTGGAGGGGAGGGAAGAGAGGATTGATTTGATCAAAATGCATTATATAATTGTATAAATTTTTCAAACAATAAAAGGTAAAGGAATTATAGAAATCATATTCTATATATATTTCTTTTATATATATATTAAATTTGTATTACCTTATCCTTTTCTTCTTCAATTGTTTTATAATCAAAATAAACAGATAAAACAGTAAAGGAGCTGGTAATACGGCTTTCTTAGTTGAATGCCTTCCTGACATTCATGAAGACTTTTATTCGTGACAAACACCACAAAAAGTGAGTGTGGAAGTGCATGCCTATAGCTCCAGCCTTGGGAGGTGGAAGCAGGGAAGGCAATCTCAGAAGTTCAAAGTCATCCTTGGTGTTCTAACAAGTCTGAGTCAGTCTGTGATATGTGAGAGCTTGTCTCAAAACAAAACAAACAAAAATGACAATGAAGATGAAGAATGGGAAGAGGAAGATGTTTGAGTAGAGGTAAGGGAACTTAGAAAGGGGTCACTGAGAGGTGGAAAGAAAGTTTAGGGAAATAGTGTGTAAAGTGAAAGAGAGGTCCCAGTTAGAAACATCAAAGAACCTGGACCAGGGAAAAGCATGTAGGGGCAGAGAACTGATGCTAAGTGTGTCTGAAGAATGCCATAAGGAAACTTCTCAGTGCACTGAGTGCTACCCAGTAGCCATCAACTCTTGATATTATGGTTGCCTACACAAAACCATACCTGTCAGCATTGCAGCATGAATCGGGGAAGGACACACAAGCCTCGGTCTGTAGTTGAAGAGCTCTGGGCGGTCTATGTTTTTTGAAGAAGGAAAGTTTTTTTTTTTTTCAGGAGAAAATGCAAAGATAGCTTGCCCATAGCTAAGTGGTCAACACTATACCCATATGTATAAAGGTAACATCAGCTGGATTCAGTGGTGTGTGTGTGTGTGTATTTATATGCATATAAAGAGAGAGGTAGAAAACAGAATTGAGAGTAGTATGTGGGAGTGTATAGCAGAGTGGGAGTTGGGATGCGAGGGGCAGATCTGATGAAAATTTATTGCACTGATTTATTAAATTCTAGAAAACAATTGAAAATAAATTATTTTTAAAAACATGTTTGATAACTTGGGGATGGTCAGGTTTTTTTCTCTAGTCTCTACCTCCATTCCCTCTCTTCATTTTATTTATTAACTTTCACTTATTCATGTCATGTCAGCAGATGAACATAGACCATGCATACAGGATGTCTTCCACATCAATTATTGTGTAAACAATCTACAATTTATTCTGTATTTAAAGTACAGTTATACTGATTCTGGATAGAATGCAACTCAAAAGGATCTAATGAAATGGCACAATTCCCTTCCAGTATCCAAGAATCAGACCCAATGGGAGGTGACATGGTTCATCTCATCTGGAGAAGTAGTGGTGTTTTCCGGATGCTCGCACTATTGAAGTGTTACAAACACTGAATGCTAGAAAACTTAGGTAGGAAGTTCAAAGTATTGCTTTAGAGCTAGTAAAAATATTATTTATGGATGAGCCCTGAAGACACCAGATGGCTATCATGTTTATTGGAGAAAAAAGTACATTGTCTTTTTTAAATTTTGTTCTTTTTTTAAAAATATTTATTTATTTGTTTGTTTATTATGTATACAATATTCTGTCTGTATGTCTGCAGGCCAGAAGAGGGCACCAGACCTCATTACAGATGGTTGTGAGCCACCATGTGGTTGCCGGGAATTGAACTCAGGACCTTTGGAAGAGACCAATGGAATGGCTCTTAACCATTGAGCCATCTCTCCAGCCCCCTAAATTTTGTTCTTTGAACACACGTGTGGAGATGTATGCAAAGGTCTGGGGACAGCTTGTTGGAGCTGGTTCTATCTTCTACCACGTGAGCCTTAGGAATTGAACTTTAGTTGCCAGAGTTGTTAGCAAGTACCTCCACACACTGAGCTGGGTTGTTGGCCCTGCATCATCTGCTTGGGTCTCCTCACTTAGTGTCTTTTAGCATGAATTTACTTATAAAAGATTTTCTATTATTACTGACATGACTCTGGGACTGCTTCTGTCACCTGGGCTTGATGACACTGTGCTGTCTCTTCCTTGACATATGTCTACTTTGAATTCCTTAGTCTTCCAAGAAGTAACAGGGTGTTTTGGAAAGTCTAACTCATTCATGTTTCCATTTCCATGAAATGACTGAAAGGGCCTTTCATTTGAGTGAAACATTGAGTCTCAGGAGGACATTATTCTGAGACTGTAGAGAGGGCCACTATAGTGCACTTAGGGTATAATTCCTGGGTACCCTCAAAGAGAATGGCATATATAGGTTAACAGATATCGGGAAGACCCAACGGTGGTTACACAGTAAACCAATGGTAACACAAGTCAGAAGCTAGGGAGATAGCTCAGTCAAGAATGTGTTTGTACTGAATTTGATTTCCAGAACTCAGAATGATTTAAAAGATACAAGCAAGGTGGTCCATATTTCAAATATTAGCACTGGTATTGCTGAAAAATGCAGATCTCTGGGGCTTGCTGGATAATCTTATTGAATTGGTGATCCATGGCAAAAAAGAAAAAGGAAAAAAAAAACTTATAGAGTTACTAAGGAGGACAATGGGGATTGGGTTCTGTCCACCATCATATTTATACATATTTTTACACATCCACATACTTATATGCATAAAGGAAGGAAGGGAGGGAGGGAGGGACGGAGGGTGGGAAAGAAGGAGGGGAAGGAAGGAAGGGAGGGAAGAACAAGCAGATAGGCAGGCAGACAAACAGTCTAACAGACAGATAGCACAGGTCTGATTTCCAATACACCCATCTTGAAAGGATTCTGGGACTCCTCTTCACAGACAGTGTGGACAGTTGCATCTCCTAAGCCAGGACATGCTGTGATAGAAAGCCACCATGACTAGAGTGGTGTCCCTTTGACCCTCTTGTCTTTGCTCTGTGACTCAGTCTATGATTAAGAACTAACAGAGTGTGTGATAGGAATCCAAGTGAGATGTGAACCAGGGACTTTGAGGTCAATAAAGTGCAGAATCATAGGAAGAGATTCAGCTAGTCTAACCATGTTTCCTTGATGTCTAAGTGTCAATCTCTGCTCTAATTTGTATGTTATGTACATGTAACAACCTAGTGGAAATTTCCAGTGCTTGGGAAATGTTTCTTTTAAAACTATGCAAATTTGTTTTCAGAAATGTTGTCATTTTTCAGATTTTAGATGCCAAGAAAAAAGTGATGCTTATATATAAATAAGATGCATATTAAGGTACATTATGTTAGATTAAATTTTGTATGAATGGCTAACATGGATAAATAACCAAATCATTTTTTTAAAAAATAGAAATGTTTGATTACAAAATACTGATATTTATCTTTAAATTTTTACATCTAATACATCTACTATAAAATTTTATTTGCCAACAATGTGCTGTTAGGATTTAAATTGTTCTTCAAATATTAAATTTTTTTGGAAGTCACTATAGACCAGTTTATGTAATAGTAAAGTGTATCTTCTGTGAAGGGATTGCAAAGATTTTTCTAAGGGCACTTCAGATAAATATTTAAATTCTGGTGTTTTATTATTCACTTTAGAAGGTGTTCATGCTATTTTCACATCTCAATTGGCTCCCCATTGTCTAGGTCAGGAAATTGAAACAAAATCAGTTCGCCAGTGTAGGGTTCCCCCTCAAAGCCCTGGACACTTTGATTTGTATAGTCATTGATAATTAATTCCAATGTTCATGTTAATTTTAGTGTAATTTGTGGCAAGATTTGTAAGTCTTTACAATAGTCATATTAATTTTGGTACAACTGAAGCCATTTGTAGCTGTCATTCAAAATTATCTATTATGACAATTCAGCCTTTCTTTTCTCTGTTTGTGTATGGGACACATAATTCCTTTTTCTCATAGCTTAATCTTATAAAATCTATAAAAAGTTGATGTTTACATTTTCTGTGTATTCCAGTGTTTGTATTTGAGAGTGTGCATGATTTGAACTCCCTTCCTGTGTTTGTGTGATAAGAATTATCACACACACACACCTGAGTCACCTCTCTAGACCCTTTACCCTTTATGTATTATGTATTTGTCATAATGCCAAATATTGCATATTCAAAATAAATTTCTTGAAAAAAGTATTGAAAGTGAAGCATAACACTCTTCCTTTTAGGACACCCAGCCCAGTGACTTGGTCAAAGTGTCTTTGCAAATCAACTGTGCATGTGATTCAAGGTTGCCCTGTTAATTGCTTAGGGCCCATGGTCTTGTGGTATCTCAGAGCTGCCTGGCAATTTGTAAGTAGGGCTCAGCTGATTGTGAAAGGTTTCAGATGTTTTGAATAGGCTCAGTAAACAATGTCTGACATCACTCCATGGCCAGTTGTACTTGTCCTTCTGCTGATATCTTCATTTTAACAGGATAACAGATATTTTTAGAGGGAACTCTAGCCGTTAAGAAACACATGAAAAAATGTGAGATTCATGTAGCTAGATCTCCTGCCTAGGGTTGTCCAATAACAAAATATCTGTTCTTTCATGATTTTACATATATAAATGATACTTTTCACTAACTCACACAAATATCAGTCTATTTTACTACTCTAAAGATTTAATTTTATTTATTTGTGTGTGGGAGTGGGTGTGTGTATGTCATGTGAGTGCAGTGCCCTCAGGGGCCAGAAGAGGGCATTGGATCCCAGAGTTGGAGTTACAGGAGGTTAGAAGCTGTCACATGAGGGAGCTGGGTGTTGAAATTCTCTTCAGAATAATGCTGCAAGTGCTCTTAATTTTTGAAGTGACTCTGCATTCTTTAAACACAAGTTTTAACACAACAAACACAGATGGCACTTTTCAGCTGTTTCTAATGCGACTCCACTGTTATGGAATTGGGAACGTATCTAGAAAGGTTGCTGCTTTTTCCTCTTTATCACAAATCAAACCATGATGACTGGTTTTTGAAGGTGTGGGAGCTCAGAGTTTTGCAATACATTATGTTAATTTCTAAGCATAAAATCAAAATATGTTGTAAATAAAATTTATATTACATATTTATAACAATTTCCATCTCTTTGAGGAAATTATACACACAGTAATTATCATTCTTTATATGGTAAAAAATTAATATCCAGTCAGATGCTTCCATTTGATTTCCCTTTTTTATTTTTAACTGTTTGAGACAAGATGAGGAACAATATTATAAAAATGACTGAAAGATTGAAACCATTTTGTAATCTACCTGATAAAATACCTGATAAAAACAATCAAAGAAAGGAAGGGTTTATTGGGGCTCACATTTTGAGAGCACAGTCCATCATGGCAGATGTGGCAGCAGGAGCATGAAGATGCTGGCCACAAGGCATCCACAGTCAGGAAGTAGAAAAAGATGGATGGCTGTGCTCACCTCACTTTGTCCTTTCATTCAGTCTGCACCTCATGCAGTGGTGCTACCCACCTTCCAACTGGGTCATTCCTCCTCAATTAAACCTCTTTAGAATGACATGTCAGAGATAAGTCTTCTAGCTCATTGTAAAGTATAGTCAAGTTGACAAGAAGATTAAACATCATATATACCATATACATAATATTATATACATATTGCCCCTGTAGCTAAAGACTTCATATATAAGATAAAACATAAAGGTTGTGCAAAAGACATAACCATGAAGTCAAGACTAAGTTTTCCATTTTTATTGGTTATCTGCTCTTCTTCTAACAAAAAGTATAGCATAGTGTTAAAATTATATACTTGCTTTTTAGATACTAATCCCAATCAATAAACATTTGTCAAAAAAAGTCAAGCATCTGCTGTTTTCCATTGTTCCAAAAATTGCTTTTCTGGTAAATAATTCATTCTGAAATGTTTCTCATATCATCTGTATGTTTGTTCATATATACATATATATCTGCATATATACATATACATTTATTTAAATTTGTGTCTGTGAATATTTAAACAAAAATATGTATGTTTAAATATGTAAACAGAATACAATATTCTTATAATGTTTCAGTTATTGCATATAAGACAACACATGGATTTTTATCAGTATTCCACTGATTGTCAGACTCTAAATATAAATTTTACCTTTTTTTTCAAACTAGAGAATATTATATCACCATGGTTAAATGGGTGAGCAACACCAGGACAGTGGTCAGGTGGTTGAATCGGCCTCAGAACATCTCCATCCTCACGGTCTGTGAGTCTACCACCGGGGCATGCAGTAGGGTGAGTTTAAATTATTTCCATGTTTTGCGTAAAGTAAAGTGGTTAGGAGTCATTGCTATAGAAGTCAGGCATGGTTAGGGTTTCATATAGGAATTTCAATATTTTATTTACAACAATAATAGAAAAAGGAATAAATTCTAAATATCTATACTTGTGTGGTTGGGGAGATGTCTTAGAGAATGAGATGCTTTCCACATAGTTTTGAGGACCTGAGCCCCTAAGTAAATTTCAGACAAGTGTGGTTAGCCCCTTGTATTTCTAGCATTGGGGGGCGGGGATGAAGACAGGGGATTACAAAAGCAGGTTGGTTAGCTAGACTTGATGAATTGCTAAGCTCAAAGTTCAGCAAGAGACCCTGCCTCAGTAGGTAACAGTGAGAACAATTAAGATACTCAACATTAATCCTGGCTTCCACATGCTTGTGCACAAACAGATATGTGAACATGCATGCACACACACACACACACACACACACACACACACACACCAGACACATACACTTCCAAAAATCAGAAGTAAATAAAAGTACATACTATATTCTATTCCCTTATATATATTCCAATTTTTTTTAAGAGAGTGGCATCAAGAATAAGCAAAGGAGAATACACTCCCCACTTAATGAAATGAATGAATATAGGTCAGCAATACAAAGGCAGCATAAACCACATGGAGCTTTTTGCAACTGAGAATTTCTTTCCATATTTTGTCTTTCCCTTGTCATTATTAGAAGTATTCTTCCAATTTTCCTTAGAGATGGCCCAGTTTCCATATAGCTCACATTAGCTCTGTGGTTGTATTTCCTTCCCTATGATAAATAAAAGCAGAGAAAATGGCTCTTGTTCCACAATATTCTAACAGTGAGTTCAATTTCAATTTCTAAAACTAATTTTCTAAACTCTGCAATAATTTAAATGGGCATCGTATTTAAGGCTCTTGGTAAGGAACATGGATCAATACTTTAAATTTTTATATTATATGCTTGGTAGGTTATAAAGGATTCTCAGAATATTTAATAAGAAAATTTGCAAATTTCTGCTCTGGAAATGACCAAGCATTGCTGGTTATACTTTGCTCAGTAAACCACTAAAATTATATAAAACACTAGATAATAGGAGGAACAGGGAATACTAAGGTATATGCTTTCCTGATGAACACCATCCTCAGTGAGATGGTGGAGAACAAGAGGCAAAGATGTGGAAAATATGCAAAATAGGACTCTCTCACTCAACCATGTGACCAACGAGAATCACATTCTCATCTAGCAAGTTCCACTCCAGAGGCAGGGATTTCTAGGAAACAACTACACGGGTCTATAAGAAAATATTCTAGTCTTTGGCTCTGTGCAAACATTGCTTTTCTTTAGAAGGAAATTTACTTTTTAAAGGGAAAATTGAAAACTCAATAGACGATTTTCAACCATGCAGATTTGTGAAAGTTAAATATTCTATGTTTTTGAAGAATTATGACCCAGTTTTCTACCTCCAGACTAGTCTGTAGGAGCATACCAAGTGTAGCAGTGTTAAGGCTATCAGGGTTTCTGTAAGCTATTAGAAAGATACTTCACAAAACGCTTTGTGAACGACAGATGAAACTTTCAGTGAAGAAGTGCAGCATTTGAGGAGAAAGATCAACTGGATGAGCCTCATCCCATTAAACACTAAAGAATGGAAAAGCAGAATTAAGAGCAAGTCTGAATTCCTGAGAGGACAATACAGTTACAATATATAGCTGATCATTGGGGTCAAGTCACAGGAGGGAGACTTTGAGGCAGTTGCTCACAGAATATCCGGAGTCCACAGCAAAAAGAATTGACACCTGCTTTTCTTCTTAGATCAATTACATTAAAAACTTAATTGTATGTATAACACTGTAAATTGTTATACACGTGAAATTATATGTAGAAAATTCTAGGATGAAGATACTGAATTAAGAAAAACTGAAAATATAATGATATAACATTGTTCTATTATAGGTGTGTCTAATGTGTCCAAGAATTTGGTAACTTCAAACCAATATAAACAATAACTAGACAATTTATAATCAAGTTGGTACAAATAAAAGATTTAGAGAAAAATATTGAAAGCATCACCAGAGAAGACAACACTAATATAAGGGGACATAATTATGAGACTTATCTACATTTTATCAGATACAGCATAAAACAGAGGAGAACAGAATGACAAAATTCAGACTGATTTGCCTTGTCAAACTTCTTTAAGTTTGAGTTTTCTTAAAGGGGATGGATTACATAACCACATAGGAAACATGTATTTTAGTTGATCAAACTAGAACAATGGGATTAGATCATTGATTGATAATCTCTTGGCCAAGATTCATTGTTGGCTAATCAGGAAGAAATATGTGTACATTTAAAGGTGATGATTCAAAATTCATAACAAGCTGGAATCACTAATGGAGAAGAAGATACAGCTACTTACACTCAGTGCCTTTGGTACTCCTATCTACATATATGNCAATGACAAAATATGAAAAAATAGATTAAAAATATCTCATTCAACAACAAAGTGTATGATATTTTTGTCTTGATAGTTATAATCCTTAGCCTTTAATGGCTGAGCAATCTTCGGTCCCAAAGCACGTTTTGAGTGCTAAAGGACTGTTCACAAGCCTCAAATAGACATGGAGCAAAGAAGAGCTAAGGATATGGCTCAGAGGCTAAGGGTGCTTGCTGCTCTTGCAGACGACCCCAAGTCAGTTGACAGCACCCCTGTCAGGCTGTTGGGTAAACCATCTGTAACTCTGGCTCCAGGAAATTCAGCAAACACTTCTATCCTCCATAGGTACCTGTTCACCTATGGCCCCCATGCAGACAAACAGGCATACACACATGCATATAAAGTGAATGTAATTATAAAAAGTAGATAAAGCAAAGAGTATCCCATTTAGCAATAAAAGAATTAAATTAGAAATATGTGGTATCATCAAATATTTGGAAAATAAAAGAAAAAAATTAAATGCAAGCATACTCTTGGCTGGGTGCGTGTTATAGAAAATGCCTATAACCCAATACATAGAAAATTGCATCAGGAGCATCACAAGTTTGATAACAGGTTCAGTTCATAGTGTGACTTCATCTCCAAAGATAACAGGAAGGAAGATTGTAGACGTCTGCTCGATTACAATGTATATCTCATCACTGTGGGTAAGTCACAGCCACAAAAATTTAATATAGACCATCTCAGTACATCCATAGTCCAGAGCAGAGTGAATAAATGCCTGTATACTGGTTTGCTTGCTTCTCCACTCAATTCTATTTTTGTACTTTTATAAAGTTCAGGATCCTTTGCCTAGGGAATGGTGCTCCTCACAGTGGGGGTCTTCTCACATCAATTAACTTAAGAAAGTCACCTACAAATATGCCTATGAGCCAACAAAATGTAAAAATAACAAAACAAAAACCAAAATGCCCTCCATTTAGAATCTTCTTCCAGATGATTCAAGGTTGTATCAGGTTAGTGGCTAAAGATGAAAATCACAGTGAGTAAATAGATGTTTACTGAATAGATAATTAGACAAATGAATAGAAGGTATGATACAATCATTTGTTATTCGGTCTTTTAAAGGAAAAAAAATATAGATAAATAGCAACATATTTGAATCTGGATGGCATTATTGTAAACTAAATGAGTCAGGGAAAAATAATGATGCTGAATGGGGGTTATAACTCAGCGGCTGCTTAGGTAGCACACCCTATGTTTCATCCTCAGCTTTACATAACCTGGGCATGGTGACATACCTCTACTCCCAGGTCGCTGGAGCTGGAGGCAGGAGGATTTGAATTCAAATTGTACTGGGGATGTAGCTCAGCTGATAGAGTGCTTTCCTAGCTTGCACAAATCCTTGAGGTCAGTACTCAGAACCACATACACCAGATGTGGTGGCCGCAGGAATAAGTTCAAGGGCATACTCAACTGCATGGGAAATCAAAGCTAGCCTGGAATACAGGAGAACATCTCAAATTATTGATGATGCTAAAACAAAAATAAAAACAAAAAGTTCTGTCAGTTCAGATACAATTAATTTTTCTCATAAATATATTTCCAAAACAAAACAACAACAACAAAAAAAAACTTAAACATACCAATTCTCAACTCTATCAGTGTTACTAGAACATGATACATGCTGAGTAATGGGTTTGTCATAGAAATATAAGATTATTTTAAGACATTAGATTCATAGAGTATGCCTATAATCCCAGCACTCAGGAGGCAGAGACCAGAGAATCACAAGCTTAAGGTCAGTCTGTAAACCTCATGGAGTCTAAGGACCAGATCTAGCTTTGAGAAGAAACATTGCCTTAAATTTTAAAACTAGGGGCTGATGAGACCATTTAGTAATCAAGTCTGTGCTGTTTCTGCAGAGTGTTTGATTTGATTCCCAGGACCCATTTGGCAGCTCGGAACTGCTTGTAACTCCAGGTCCTGGGAATCAGCCGCCCTCTTGCTGTCTCCATGGGCCTCCACTCATGTCTCATGTACACATTTCCACACACAGTGATAAATGATTTCACATGAGTTTTATGACGAGCAGTTTGGCCTCAGCTCTGAGTTCTGTAATCCCAACCTGTCCATTCTCACCACTTTCACACAACCTGCACTGACAGCTCCCTGAGAACAAAGCCCTCAAGAATACAAAGAAGTTTCAAAAAAATTAAAAAGGGAAACTCTTCATTTCCAGGTGATAATTTTGTGGAAATAAAAACCAAAAATCTATACAGATGCAAACATGCACCCATAATTTAAAAATAATGCTTTTATATTTGAAATCTTTTCAAATTATTTAGAAGAAGAGAAAACATCAATAATAAAGCAAAAAAATTTAAATAATTGGTAAACAAGCAAAAAGAGCACATTTTAAAAATCTGGTCATAAAATTTCTTTATGTTTAACTTATTTAAAAATAGAGAATTTATTTCAGAAAATGAAACAAAATACATAGTATATTCTAATAATATTAAGATGGAGGTAAGCTAATATAAGATAAATATTTAAATATTAAATATGTAAGGGTAAATTAAAATATTTCAGCATTTAGTGCCACAGAATTTTAAAAGACATTTTAAATGCGAAACAAATATTCTTGAATTGAAAGACTTAATATTGTTAAAAATTAGTTCTATTCCAGTTTCAACATAGTTCAAGCTAAAGTTCCTTCTGTCCAACAATCCCGGACCCTTTTAGAAAGGTTTTTATGTATCCTTTGCTGACTACACTATGTAGTGAAGGAAGACCTTGAACTTCTAATCCTTGCTGAATGTTGGGTGACAGGTGTGCACCACCACACCCAGCTTCTCTCAGATTTGCTTTCTGCAAAAAAAAAACCTGTTTAAAATTTTATAATTGTGACCAGCAAGGTGTCTAGAGGGTAAGGGTATTTGCTATCAAACTTGGAGACCTGAGTTTAGTTTCCCAGGTACTATATGGTGAAAGGAGGAAAAAAAAGACTCAGTAAACATTGTCCTTTGATCTCCTCAAAGATGCTACACACACACACAAACACACACTCCCTTCACCTCTCTTATTCACGTGCTAAATATAAAAAATGTAAAATAAATTTACCAAGAAGCATATATATCAAAGTAATCCTACAGAAGAAGAAAGTTAGATGCAATTGTACAACCTGATTGCAAAAATATCTAGAAATTTATGGAGTCTCTAATGGGAGGTGAGGGACAGAGAGAGACAAATTCTCAGTTGAATTGCATGTTCTACAGAAAATGGGCCATCATTTATGGTATCAGTGATACCTACTCTATAAAATGCAACAACTTTCAACTAAATGGGAAGGGATTGTTTGCAGCTACTGCATAGTAATGCCCTAACTTTAATTTGAGGCCAACAACAACTATAAATCCAAAGGGTGATAATGTCAACCTTCCAGAAGAAAGTGTGGTTTATGGATGGGTATTATTTAAATCTGGTTTTATCATGGAATATCTTGTTTTCTCCATTCACAGTGATTGAAAGTTTTGCTGGGTATAGTAGTCTGGACTTTCATCCACGGTCTCTTAGTGTTTGCAGCACATCTGTCCAGGACCTTCTGGCTTTTGTGGTTAGGGAGTGGTTTAAATACGAAATATTTTCATGGGCTCAGGTGTCTGAACACTTTGTCCCCACTTGGTGGTACTGTTTGGGAAGGGTGTGAAATCTTTAGTAAATGGAAGATTGATAGGCCAACTCCATTTCTTGTTTACTCCCTGACTCCAGAGTGTGAACTATTTGTGACCAGTCTGTGCCCTACTCCTGCCCCCATACCTTGTCAGCCACAATAAATTATATCCCTCAGACTATAATCTGTAATGAACTCTTTCTTAAAATAAATTCCTTCTTGTCAGGAATTTGAGCGTAGCAGCAGGAAAAATAATACAATTCTGCTACACAGATTAAGCCAAATAATAACAATCATAGAAAAAAATACATGGAGATTCGTCAAAATCAAACTCTTCAGGAACTATTATGCAAATGGCTAACAAAACCATGGATGATAAAACTGTTTTTTGAAATGTATCTTACACAAATAAATACCACAGTCAATCTAATGTACCAGTATAAAAACAAACAACAATTGAAATGTATTTGACCTTATTAGGTATTAAAGAAATGTAGATTAAGAACCTACTGAGATAATATTACATACTTGGAGAATGACTAAATTAAAACAGTAAGACAAAGACAGAAAGAATTTGTGGATAAAGATATAAAACATTACAATTTGTATTCTTTGCAGGTCAAAATAAAAATTATTCAATTCTTTTAAAATATATTTTGACGATCAACTGAGATTAGACAAAAATGTAAGCATGGCATGTATAATAGAATATTTTAGTACAGCACATCTCTGTTTATGCCTGTTTAGTCATTTCACTATTACTTATTTGCACAAAAGTAAAATCATATGTTTACAAACGGATTTGTAGGGAAAATAAAACATCACCAAAATTTTATTCACAGTAACAGAGATCGCAGGTAGGAAACAGTTCATTAACTGGGAATGGATTAAAACATGAGCCATATTTATTGATTTTGTGTAATTCCACCTAGCAATTTAAAAAGGAATAGTCATATGGGTTGGGGAGATGACCCTGTGAATAAAGTCCTTGCTATGCCCACATGAAGACATGAGTTCTATTCCCTACAAGTCGCATAAGGCTGGATTCAGCAGTGGGCATCTATAACACCATTTCTCCTGTGGCAGGTCACAGGCCAGGAAGTCTGGCATAGACAGTAGTAAACAAGAGACCTATCTTACACAAGGTGGAAGGCAAGGACTGATACCTGGCATTGTCCTTTGCCTTTCTAACATGTGCTAGGGCATATTCACACCTAAAGTCACACACACAGAAGTAAACACACACATACACACATTGAGAGAGAGAAAGAGAGAGAGAGAGACAGAGAGGGATCATTTCAAAACAAAATGTTCTTTTCTAATACTAGAAATAGAATGCTGGTACAATTTTAAAAACAAAGCAATAATATAAGAATAAACCTCAAAAATGTGGCATGAAAAGAATCTCACACCAACAAGTGACACATGGTTTAATTCTCTGACTTTCTATAACCAAACTAATCTGTAAGGAAAAGATGAGAAGAATGACTTATTGGAACCACTGCAAAAGTCTGTAAAAATGGAAGAACCTGGGTCTCCTTATCTTGACCATCCATAAATATATTAAATTGTCAAAACTCCTGAAGTTAAGCACTCCTGATCTGTACATTCCACTTTGTGTGAACATTCTGGAAACACACTTCCTAAGTGGATTTTCAAGAGAGAATTAAAGAGGCAACAATTTGTCAAAGAGTACTTTAAGTGTGGGGATTGGACAGTTGAAGCTATCATCACGTATTGAATGCCAGTGATGCTCTTCATATTACATTGTATCATTTTAACATCATTCCAGCCATTATTCTCCATCTGTTTATGCTATTGATTGACCAGGACTTCCAGGTGTATTTGAGAAACTGTTCTAGATGAGTTGTTACTCAAGAGAAAGCCTAGTTATTTTAAACTTCTCCTGGATAGAGGTGTTGGTGTTCTTTAGTAACATTGATTGCCTAGTATGTGAGAGGTGAAACCAGCTTAACCAGGGACTCCTGTTACCTCTTCTATGCAAGGATAATCAAAGTATTTTTACTATGTGACCACAAGGAGAAGTTAAAATGCCACACATCATTATGTTTGTCAGTGCATTTATTTAAAATTTTATTGAGACTCTAGTAATTTTATGCTGTGTCTGAGTTTAAAAATTTCATTTTCCATAAATTTAAATTATATGACAAATGATGACAATTAGAGTTTAGCTCTGATTGGAGTCTTAAGAAAACCGGGAGGATATGGATGAGCAGCTGTCATCAGAATTCTTTATTTTTCTAGGTAGAATGAATGACTGTTACTTCCATGTCCACTGAGAATTAGAAAATCACTTTAGATATTTCTGATGAGTTCATCGAGCCATTGGTAGTGAAACACTGAAAAAACACTCTTGAAAACAGAAAGTGATTGGGGCTGTAATTTTGGTTGAATGGTTATGAGTATTTGTTGCTCTTTCTGAAGACCAGAGTTCAGTTCCCAGCACCTATGTTAGGAGACTCACAACTGCATATAAGGCGAGCTTGAAGGATCTGAAGCTTTCTTCTAACTCTGAGGACAATGTACTCATGTGCATATTTCCCCACACAGATAAAACATACACACACATGCTTAATAATAGTTAAAATAAAGGGATCAGTTATACAGTATGTAATAATCTATATAAAATGAACAAGTAATAAAAAATATGAAAGTATCGTGAACAATTTGAAATGATCCCTTCCTCATGTAGGGAGGAACTATGCAAAGTGCGTTTAGTTTTCTTAATTTGATGACCTTTTTGAACATGTATTTGTGTCTTTCAACAAACACAAGCTTCATGTCATGATAAAAAGACATTATTTCTAAAATAGTTTATATACTTGAGATTAATTGGTCAAATTTGGCTTTTGCAATGATCTTGGCTGTGACTCTTTCAAGCTATTTCAAAGGAAAATCAAATTTGGCATGTCCTAGGTTTCATATTTTTCTCTAACACTGAATGACTACTAATGAGGAAAAAAGGTTATGACTAAAAGAAATTTTAAAAGAATTTCCAGTTTTGAATTTTATTGCTGGCTGTTTGCCCAGTTCTTCTGGAGACAAAATTTTGTGTCCAGATGATACCTACAGGTAAGAAAAACAGGGTCTGGTGACTTACAGAATTCTGAAGGGTGTAATAAAACAAACTGGAGAATGACCTTGCACCCCTACTACCCAGGTGATGTGTTCTTGGGAGTTGCCCTCACCAAAATGCTGCATCTCTGTTTTTCATCCAGTTCAAATCAGTATTGCCAATGGGATGGATCTTTGGAATTATTTCTCTAGTTGATGAGAGGGAAAGGTCTGAAGGGAAGAGTGTAAGAAAGGTTATATGGATGTTCATGTTGGTCTTAGATGCTTCATGAGTTAATTGTTCTGTTTCAGAAATATGAGATGACGTCCGACACCTGGCTCTCTAAACAGGTATAGTATAGGAGGCCTGTGTCACCTGTTCACCATTGTGAATATTTTCTTCACAGGTTTGTCATATAACTTTCTCTAAAATGTTATCTCATGAGTCTAGGAACATCTTCTAATCCATAGATTAGAATAGTTCTCATTGTAAACATTCCCACAATCCATGTAAATGCCAAGTAGATGAGGTAGCCTACCTACAAGGAAGACAGAGACAAAGGATCACTAGAGCAAACTGCCTAATGAGACTAGTCCAAGGAAGGGTATGCAATGGATTTGATTGAGAGACTGCCACAATGACAAGTGTCCAAGAGTCATGAAGATGACTCCCAACATCAACCTCAGCCCTTCACATGCTCATAAATGCAGCAGCATTTACCCACAGCACATGTGCTCCTACAAACATGGATGTGTATATATATATACCCCAAACAAGTACACACATGTGTGGACACAGAAAAACAGAATAGACAAAGACAAGTTTCCAATGATAAAATTTTACGTTTTTGTTTGAATTTTAAGAAGTGATTCTTTTCCTTTATTTGTGATGCCAGATGTGGTACCCCATGCACTTCAGAAACTGATGGGGGGCCCTCTAACTCAAGGCCAACCTGGGCTATGTAGCACATTGAAAGATAGCCTAGGCTCCATAATCACTTACAAAAAACGCAAAAATGTTATATATAATCACACATTTAATGTATACCTCATATGACTTCCACAGCTTCACCTTGGAAATTCAGAAGGAAATACAGATAGTTAGCACAGTATAACTGACTTCTTTTCTTCAGTAACTCCACACTGGTTTTCACAAAGGGCAGTGTGAGCTGGTTGGGTTGGCTTGGGTTTGTTTTTCTTTCCATGTTATTTTTGTAAATTATTTTAAATGTCAGATACATCCTTGGTATTAGTTTTTACCTAAATACTGAAACATCCAAATTTTAGCTTTAGGTATTTCAGTGAGTTACAAAAAACCAAGTTCAGGTTTCACATCTCCTAATCTATTAAAGCAACCATGAAGCCTTCTTTGTAAACAGAGAATACATTTCTCTTCAATCTAGTCCTTTATTTTCATTAATGATTGCCCATCTAGCTATTGGCAAGATCTTCTTATGACTCTTTGCTGGCTTCACAGGTGTATCCAATTCATCATTGCACTTTAAAAGTTTGTGTTCCTGTCATTTGACCTTCATCAGCTCACAGACATTGTCTAGGTTTTGAATGTGGGTACCACAGTTCCTCTTCAATTGGTAGCTACCCAACCTTTCATTGTCCTGCCAATCACTTTGCCCATGGATTTGCTGAATGGCTGCTGTAAAATACACTCTTGGATGTCACTGTCAACCTTCCCTTCCCTCTCCATTCCCAGAACTCAAACGACTTTGTGTGATCCTTCTGCCCTTTGCAGCATAACCTACACCCTTGAATGATCCACAACAGTTAAAATTGAAAATCACCCCAGTTCTACAACATGCAATCCTAAACATCTTCTTCTCCATCCCATTATCATTACTCTCAAGTATATAGGGCATTCACATGCCCCTTTCTTTGGAAACTAAATTCTTTCAAAAAGCTTCTGGTCCATAGCATATCTAGGTTTTAAACTTCATCATAAATCACCTATTAATGTAACCTCCTGCTCCAACCCTAACCAGATCACATCTTCGAATAAAATTATTGTAAAATCTTTGTGTCATAAAATCTACTATCCCTCTGGCAAGATAAGACAACCAAAAGGATGTTCTCTGTTGCTATGAATTGAAATATACGCCCCCTGCAGTATTCAGCACAAGAACACTGTTGTCCTTATTTATTGCCTGGAAAAGAAAAACTAGAAAGACTGTTCATAGATTCATGCACTCACTGGCTTGAATAGATTCCAGGTAGATATACACACAACTGTACACATGGAGAGAGAAAAAAAATTATTGTGTCCTGTATATGCATATGTGTATTAATATAATTTTGCCCTATTATTATGCAAGATAAAATGGTAGTAAAAAATTTGAATTTATAACCAACAATGCTTTTATTCAGTTTAATTAGTCACTAAAAATAGTCATTAGAAATTAAAAACCTGATGGATATCAGTATTTCTGAATTGCTCTCCTTCACATGTATTATTCTATAATTTTTCAGATATATAAAAATTCATAATAGTTTAACAGGCATTGCTATATTAAATCCAACCTCATGAATGCTGAATAGAAGTCATTTCTTAACAACAACACACCCATCTATAAATTATTTAGTAAGAAAATGCATTTGGTGGCCTGTCAGAGTTGATTTTTTTCCTTCAGCAGAACAATGGGAATCTTACTGAATTTTTAGAATTTCATGAAATAGAAGAGTTGAGAGTGGTGATGAGTGGAAACACATCTTTATGACAATTAGGACTTTAGCACCAGCACACCGTCAATTTCAGGATAGTTGAAAGGAAGCAAGAAATGGACATGGTTGTCCTATCTTCCAAGGCCTGAAGATGGATGGTAAGTGTGTAACACACCTGGAAGTTTACACAGTTGAGTTCAGGTCCAGGGCAATGTTTCCCAGAAGCACTGTTGTGAAGGATGTTCCATATGTGAAGGCAGAGAGGGAAAGTGCAGGTTAAACCCAGTCATGTGTTCTGTGTTTTTGTTATGTGTTAAGTTGCATGTTTTTTCTCAACCTTTACCTATATGTTACTTTGGAGATTTCCACTTAATCCATATGTTATCATATCTTTTCATGAATATCCACAAAGTGAACAATGGAAATTATCTTGTCATTGCTGTTAAGAGTGTCCGTTCCAGGTGCTGGGGATGTATCACTGAAAGCTGTAATGCACGAGTCACACAACTATAAACATATGCACACCTGTGCAGTGCACTAGTGAGTGGTGTTAGGAGGTGCAAGAAAGAAAAGTAAACAAAATAAAGCTGTTGAGAGCAGCAGGTGATAATCACTAAAGCAGCTAAAACATACAGATATAGGAGGCAGAGCTAGACATGGATGAGAATAAAAAATGAAGGCCAAAGTGAAATAGGAGCACCCTCAGGCCCAGGGAGAATAAAACAGAGAGGAGAAGTTCATGATAGCAATGCAAAGACATCTGCAGGACTGGGAGGACACTTCAAACAGGGTCACAGAATAGTTTGGTTGTTAGAGCATGCATTGCTCTTGCAGAAGACCTGAGTTTGGATCCCTGCACCCACTTGGGTGACTCACAACTGACTGGAACTTCAGCTCTATGGGTCTCCACAGACACTGTCACATAGGCACATAAGTATCATTTAAAATAACGAAACTTTAAAATGTTTAAATCTTACATTGAAAACCATATCAAATGTAGAATCATTCTTTAATTAGGCAGAAAGAAATATGATGCTTTGTCAGATGTCAGCTATCTTAATGTATTGTGTGTGCATGTGTGCCTCTTCAGGAAATATATATATTCAGGAAATATATATATTTCCTGAAGAGGTGCACACACACATGCACACACAAACAAATACACACACCACACAAAACACTATATGTGTCTTTGTGGATGATTAATGTAATGATTTTCAAAGCCTTAATAATTGTATACATGTATGTCGCTGTAATTTAATTAAAATTTCACCTGAGGTTAGCAGCTGGGAATGAGCATTTTGGGAGTGTGTTTGGGAGAAATGAACATTAATGGCAGGGCATTTCAAGAAAATAATCTTTATAATTCCCTAACTTGTGGCATTCCAATTTTTTTTGTATTTTCAGCAAATATTGTCCACACTATCAGAAATGAATCTCCTGTTAGTAAAATTGCTCAGTAAAAGATTTTACAAATATCTTTCTTAAAAACTTTTTATGATTTAAAAAATATTTTGATAATCTGGCCTGTTTAACTTACTTACTCTTTCCTTGTGTTTAAGAGATAAATTACTGAGTGTAAACTCAGGTCAAGATATAATATTTCTTGTCTGTATTTGTGCACATATGTATCCAGTCTACTTTTTAATCATTTTCATCCCTTATGAATGAAACTTCCCCATTCTTTCCACTTTTGATATTAATAGATATATGATATTAATTTCACTTTTTAAAAAAATTCTAGATGCCATGCCTTTTATTTTTAAACATCTTTTCTATTTCCCAAACTAATTCAGAATCAAACAACAGCTTATGCGTGATGCTGAGTAGAAAGTGCCCCATCTAAGTTCTGAGATTCTTCATGCCCTTCTCCATTATAGAACGAGGAGCCTGTGTTTTCCAGAGATGGAAGCAAGTTCTTCATGACTGTTCCTGTCAAACAAGGTGGCCGAGGAGAATTCCACCACATAGCTATGTTTCTGGTCCAGGTAGGTTCTGGGATCTTTCTTTGGTATAGTTTCATTGTCATTGAAGGCTCAGTGCTTTTTCCATTTCTTAGACTGTGTGTGTGCTGGTGTGTGTGCTGGTGCACACATGACCAGTTGCTCACCTGTGGAAGACAGAAGCCAAGCTCTAGTGCCAGTCAGTTCTTTCCTTTTACCTTCTGCTTCGGCTAGGCCTGCTGGTGCACGTGCTTGTAGAGGCTCTCCTGTCTCTACCTCCCATCTCACCACAGGAGTGCTGGGGTTGCAGGTGCGTGTTACCCAGTCTGACTTTTAAATGGGCTCTGGGGTTTGAAACTCATGTCCTCATGAAGATGTAATGAGAGCTGTATCAACTATGCCATCTTCCCAGACCCAAAGGCTCAATTCTTGTGCCATTCAGAGCCTAGAGTGAGTGCCATGAAGGGTCACACATATTTTGGGAAGGTGATGCCATCAACATGCATCACACATATATTCAAGCTACATCACCACAATATCAATAAAATTTGATCAGCAGTATGTACTGTGAAGTGAGAGCCTTGACATATAGTTTTATTTGTTTATTTAATTAGACAATATCTCATATAGACCAGGGTGGCCTTGGCCTTACTCTATGATAGATGATGATCTCTGACTCCACCACCAGATGCCAGGAGTATAGATGTATGACACTATCTCAATCTGTGCAGTTTGGGGATCAAACCCAAGATGTATGTATGTTAAACCAGTTTTTCTACCAACTAAACTGCAGCTCTGGGACACAGAATTTTGTTTTTGTCATTTTGAGACAAGGTCTCACTATGTAGCTCTGGTTGTTTTAGAACTCACTATGTAGACCAGGGTATTCTCAAACTCTCAAAGATCCAATCTGCTTCTGCTTCCTGAGTGTTAAGATTCAAGGTGTGTGCCATCACACCCAACTAGGATAAATAATTTAATAACTAAAAAGCATGCTAATCTCAAGAACCTGGGAACACGCGAGAGAGGTTTTGTTCATTAAATGCACATTTCTTATTTATTTTACAAGTAACACTCTCCAAATATTACATAGGTTTTAAATGTTTGGACTGACAATATCGCTCAGTAAGTAAAGAGACTTTCTTTGTGAAGCTGATAACCCGAGTTTCATCTATGAAACTCATCCTCCTTGGTGAGCAGGGAAATGCAAATTAAAACAACTTTGAGATACCATCTTACACCTGTCAGAATGGCTAAAATCAAAAACACCAATGATAGCCTTTGCTGGAGAGGTTATGAAACCCATTTAAAGTTAAAAAAAAAAAAAACAGACTCCACAAAGTTTCATCTGACTTCCATATGCATGATATAGAATTTGCAGCCACACATGTATTTAGTGTACAATCAGTAATAAATAAATGGATATTATTAAATTTGAATATTCAAAGCCAAGGAAATCCCCATCAAAATCAAATAGTGCAATAAATTGAACATGCATCTATACTAGAAAATCAACACAGATTTTAAAATACAAAATAATAGTTTTAATGTGTTCTCAATGATGCAGAAGCCAAGAAGAAAGAAAAGTTATTCCTTCAAAATCTCAAAAGAATTTTAAAAGTTTAAATTATTTTAAAAATCAGAAAGTTTATTAATAGTTGATTTAAATATGTCAAGATTAATGAGCCAATTTAAATATAATTTTCAATAATGAACATTCAGGAGGAAACAAGCATCCTTGGAAGTAAAATAAACATCCCACTCACACAGAGAGAGCTTTATAATGACAAATAATTGTGAATAAATTGAAATATTATGAGAACTTCTCAAGCATGTAGCCAAAAGTATCTTATTTTTATGAAATTTAAATATAAATGTGGCATAAAATCCCTCACAAACTTGGTTTATTTAAGTTCTCAGATTATTCATTTCTTGTGCTATCCTGAAGCTGATGCAACCTTAGTAAAGCTCACTGGAGCATCCAAAGACATCGAAGGGGGCTTGCCTGGAAAAAGACATGGGTCAGCAGGAGAGGGAGGGGACAAGAGAGTAAGGTGGGAGTGAATGGACCAAATAAGTGATGTATGTGTCTGAAAATGTCACAATGAAACTCGTGATGTATAATTAGCATATACAAACAAAAACATGCGGAAGTTGTGATTATCAATGTACATATTTGTATCTAGAAATTTTTACTTTGGAATCACAAAATTTGGTGTCAGAATAACAGTGTTACCTAGGGTTTGCATTATTAATCAATCTCCACAAATGTGACTTTAATTTTAATCAAGGTTGAAATAAAAGAAAATAGGACATGTGTAATTTCTACAGTGAAGAGGAAGACTGATTTTCTTAGTATGCTATTAAGGTAGAAAAGTGGACGAGTTAATTATATACTTGTGAGTAATGCAATTGCATTTAGTTCTAAATAAATACATGTATTTGTATATGAATAAATTTCCAAGGTTTTCTGTGTCAAACTATTGGATTATTATTAGAACAGGCAGGTAAGATTTTAAGGTAATATTTTCAGTTTCTATATCAAAAATGGAACATTAGAAAATAGATTTATTTATCTTTTTCTAAGTATATCTAGTCATCATTAGATATTATTAGGGAAATATTTTGTCCAACAAATTGTACTTCATAAATATTATAAATAATCAGGACATTTTAGTGAATCTTTATTAAGAGTTATCTTATTATTTATGCGTATGAGTTTGTCTGTGTGTGTATCTATTGTGTGTGTGTGTGTGTGTGTGTTTGGGCGCGAGTGCATGTTTATCTGTTTATGCCCTTAGAAGCCTGTGAGAATGTCAGATCCTCTAGAGCTCGAATTATGGAAGTAAGCTGATTTTGAGCCACCTGATATGGGTGCTGGAATTCAAACTGAGGGTCTCTGGAAGAGCAGCATGTCTTCTTAACAACTGAGCTACTTCTTTAATCTTTTTTGAATTGTTAAAACCACATACTCTTAAATTTAGCTAACATTTTAACACTCAAGATGGTCCCATTGGTAAAGTAACAAATATGCAGGCAAGGGGACCTAACTTTGGATTCATGGTACCTAAAAGCATGGTCAGAGACATCTGTCATGCTTGGGGGACGGAAACATTTGGATCACCATAATTTACTGGCCACTCAATCTAGGCAGCTCAGGAGAAATCGTGTCTCAAAATACAAGGAAGAGCTAAATTGTGGGAGATACCCATGTCAGCCTCTGACCTATACCCAGATACAGATAAAAATATGCATGTACATGCATACCCTCACCAATGAAAATCTTTACAAATGAATCAGAGAGTGAAGACTAGAAAATTACATACAATATAAGATAATATTCACAGTTCCAAATGAAGTCAGTTTACTTAACTGATTTAGAATAAGACAGTATCTAGTACTGTGCTGAGCAGATGGTGTCCTCCAAAAACAGAATTTTCACATTTAAAGAGTTTCTCTTTATTTTTTGAAATTTTTCTTTATTCTTGTGATTTTTCTCTCTTTATACAATGGAATACGATTATGATTCCTACATTCCCTCATTCTCTCCATGGCATCTTTAATACATCCCTTTCCAGCTCCATGTTTTGTTGTTGTTGTACTATAACCACTAATTCTAATTAGTGCTGCACATATATACCCAGGAAGGGCAACTGATGGAGCATGGGAAACATACCAGTGGCCACATTCTCAAATAAACAATGATCCTCCTCCAGCAGCTATCTGCTGCCAGGAACTCCTTAGTAAGGAACAGACCAAGGGTTTCTCTTGAAGTCTTGAAAAGAATTTCATCTTCTCCCTGAAGCAGCCTGGTATGCAGTCTCATTCATTATCCCTGCAATGTCCAGAGCAACTTCCTGAAGCAGCTGTCTTGACTCTGCTCATCTTTCATACAGAGTGTGAAAGTTGTCATTGAAGTAGCAAACTTTCCTCTGTTCTGGGTGCCATTAAGGGCGTTTATAATTTTGTCTCTGAGAAAAGGACAAGACTGTGTATTGTCTGTAAAATTTCTGTGAATTGACTCAAATTAATATTTTTTAGGTGTTTGGTGTTTAGGAGAAAACATTTTATAGTTCATCAATATGCCCAGAACTAGCACACACATATAAACACACACAGGTACAGCTTCACACACACATGCACACATATATACAAAATTAAGGGGCATAGTTTGAAACTTCTTATTTTAATTACTCACAGCTATTAAACTATAAATGTATAGTCAGCACAACATTTTCAAAAAAATAACACCTGATTAAATTAATGAGAGAAAAAATAAATGTGTTGCAGTCCTGCCATTCCTATTATTTTTAATCAATTTGTGTATTTATTTCCAATTGCTTTTTACATAAAAATAAGAACCTTTTCTTTAAAGATTTCAATTAATGTAATTTAGGTTTGCAACATTTAAAGAGTGATACATGGTTTTTCTGATATCCTTTAATGGAATTTTTAATATTTTGCATTTATCATATTCTGAAATGTTATTTTAATAGAACTGTAGCATTCACTCAAGCAGACTTGTTATACTTTCTTTAAATGATCCATTTTCATCATTAAAGTTATTCTACGCTTTGTTGGTAGATTCTCAGACAAGAAGCCCTATTCATAAACAATTCTATTTTCAATTGCCCCAAAAGAATTCATTTCTAAATGTTCAAAGATCCCTAAGGGTATTAGTCAGTGTTCCCTAAGAAAAACAATTGATAAAATAAGTGCATATGAAAAGAGGAATTATAAGATTGCCTTAAATGATACAGTGGGGAAGGCCAACAATATCTGTCTCACACTGGACAGGTATAGTCCAGCAGTTTCTCAGTCCATATGAATTTATGTCTCAGTAGTATGAATTAGGCCCTGAAAACCTGAGAAATTCCTGGAGAGTCACCTTTGCTATACATTTAATGGCTAAAATGTTGATTCTAATATCTGCAGAGAGGCAACAACAAGAGGCTAGATGAACTTAGCTGCAAGTGATGAAAACAAAACATTCCTTGTTTCGTGGCCTTTCCTTTGGACCACCACAGTATAATGATGCCCATATT